ATTCTGTGTTTTTCTGTCAATATGGGGTGCTGTGTGTACATTAATGAGGGAAAAAATGAACTTAAATGATTTTAGCATATGGCTGCAATATAACAAAGAGTGAAAAATTTAAGGGGGTCTCAATACTTTACGTACCCACTATATATAGCACTTTACAACTCTGAAGAGCACAAAGTGCTGCACAATAGAACATGTATATCAACTAAAAAACAATACTAGAACAATAAAACTTAAGCAAGAATGAAACACAAATTTCCAAAATCGCAGCAATAAAAACTTCCATCAAGATACAAATAACATAAAACAAAAAGTTAAAAGACGTCCCTTCAGGACAAATAAAACGGATTAAACACCAAAGACCTGTTTAAAAAGGTGAGTTTTAAAAGTTGACTTAAAAACCGCTAGCTTGGTTATGGACCGAAGCTCTAGCAGTAAAGAATTCCAGAGTCTGGGGCCATACACAGCAAAAGAGCGGTCGCCCCATGTTTTATATCGAGACTGGGACAACCAAGGACAAGTGCTGTGAGGAGCACTCCACGGTACTGGCAACCAGTGTAGTGAGAAAAGAACAGGGGTAACGTGGGCATACCTGGGAGTGTTCGACAGCAGCCGAACCACAGCGTTTTGGACCAGTTGAAGCTTTCGAAGCAAAGACTGAGAAATACCAACATAGAGGGCATTAGAGTAGTCTAGTCGTGAAGTGATAAAAACGTGGATGGCTTTTTCTAAGTTTGCACGCGATAAGATAGGCTTCACCTTCATTAAAAGTCTCAGCCACGGCCCTGATCTGCTTATCAAAATTAAAGCCGCTATCAAATATCACTCCAAGGTTTTATCTGTGAGTGAGGGGGCTGAAGCACCTAAACTGGATACAACCGCGGCTGGATCGGGGGTTATAACAATATATTCAGTCTTGCTCATTTAAATGAAATGAAATAGTCTGTAAAATGAGAAACCGCTTGTGTCTGAAAACTGGATATACTGTTATTTCTCAATAAAAACTCATAAACAGTTACACACCCACACCCACTGCCCTGTTCTTCAAGCACACCCTCTTTACCCACATACCCATGAACCTCTTTACCAATGAACCCCAAAACACACCTTGCCTAGGTTCATACTATAATCTGTGAAAATGACATCTGTCTGAATCTGTAGAGCACATCTCATGAATGTAGCAGCACCATTTAAATGCTTTCATAACACAAAATGTAAGTGAGGAGCATATAGGGTTACAGTGCCACATAAGAAACATGGTCTTCAACATGTGTCCATGTTTATTTTATATTTTATTGTGTCAGTTTGAAACCATACAACCATGTAGTGTAGTCCAACAGGAATGTGCATGGCGAATCAAATCCCATTCCATGAACCAATAATCAACACGTCTTGACTGCACTTCAGTTTCTTGACCACTAGATGTCCTACTGGAGCACTGTGTCATTGAGGCCTCGAGTAATGAACCATTTGTGTGAACACTGTGTCGAAGCTTCAACAAGGCCTCATCGGCCATCACTAGCTGCCGGTTCCCAACAGCTTTATTAGACCCTGTCAGCTTTCCACTGAGTCGGTCTGTAACTTCGTGGTGTTTTAACAAGGCTAGCTGCCCCGTGACAGCTGCTCTACTCTACTTTGTCCTCATAGTTTTCACTCCAGGGGGCTGGTTCCCAAACTGGGCCCCGTGGACCTCCAGGGTTCCTTGAAAAGCTTCCAGGGATCACAACAACTCCTCAGCTGCCCTGTTAAGTTTTGATAGAAATAAGTTCCCAATATGACCGTTCTGTTACAGTTTGCATTTTGTCTCTGCAGATACATAGACAAGGTGGAGCGGCTGAGGAAGCTGAAGGAGGAGAAGGAGCAGCAGCAGCAGCGGTAAGACCTACTGTACAACTGTTGACAAAAACAAGTGTGGGGAGTGACCAGCAATGGTGAAAGTGACTTGACCATAGTGGTTCTACTATAATCTGATCAAGACAGGATGATATTAGCGGTGTATATTAATGTTGGTGCTGGTAAAGCCTTACTTGTATTGTACAAATGATACCACTGTGTTCATTTCTGTAGTTTCACAGCGCTGTAGCTGTGTCTGTCCAAACAAAGACAAAAACCCCTGTTAGCTGTGAAGCTGAACTCTTCTCTCCTCACAGAGTCGTCCTGGCCATGGACAAGAAGCTGCAGGCTGATGAGATGGTGAGTTCTGTTACGTTACTGCTGGTTTACTTGCTGTGAAGCAGCTCAGCCTGGGTCATCACGGGGTTTTGTTCTGTCGTGTGTCTGGCACCGTGACGATCAGTTAGGCCTTAGCGCTCTCTGGTTGTCTACACTATTTACTGTCATTTGTCCTTTTCTTGGTTCCACTTTTTTCTCTGATTGATCTTGTTTCAGCAGTAAGCTAGTTGAGTTGATAAAGAGTTTAAACTGTCTGTGGTGGTGTCAGGTCAAATGACCTTTTTTGTGCTTTTTTTGCAGTTAGTATTTTTGGGTGTGTTTATGTGTGTGTGTTTTTTTCTATTATTCTGTCTGTGGGACTCAGGCCAAAGGGTGTTGTGCACTGTACAAGAACCCCTTGCGTGCCCTGTTTTTGAACGCTTTTGCATGCAGTAAATACAAACACGTCCAGTTTAAGCAGAGGCTCAATGGTTCTTATGAACAGAGATTGAAGCAGCTTTTCCAGTTTCAGGCAGCAGCTCTTGACCTTCTGTAGCCAGAGACTGTGAAACCCCTGCACAGCATCTTCCCCCTACATTGAAACACAAGCTTATAGCTGTTAAATGCAGCCGTGTGTTGATCCAACACAATAAAGTGACACGTTGCTGTTTCACTCAGAAATGGAAGATCATGTCCTGTACGATGAAGATCAGGCAGCTGAAGGAGGCGGTGGCCTGGGCCAACGAGGAGCTGAAGAGCGGGGAGCTGCAGGC